ATGAGACAATCGCTCTGGTCATTTGTTACTTGGTAAGAACAACGCAGATAATATTCCATGAGACAATCGCTCTGAATTAGGGAATCAAATAAGAGCAATGAGTTGGGATCCTCCCTCTGTTTTCACCTGGGGAAGAAAAACTTGGCTTCCAACGAAATAAAGTGCCAACCTAGGCATGTCTCAGACTGGCTGCTAATATGTCTGCATTTAACCGCATGGGCTGGTGTGGAGCCACCAACCTTTGAGCATCCAAGGTGAGACCCCATGGCCCATCCATGACATTGGTGAGTCTGCTAAGAGGGCAGCTGCCACCTGACGACAGCTCTCCCGTGCAGAGCTGAGATAACAGCCACTGCATTGCTCAGAGACACACCAGCCATTGATACATCAGCCGCACTGAGATCTTCTACAGGAAGTTTTGAACTGTATTTCCTTGAGCTATAAGCCATGTCACAGGATGTCCTGAAGAAAGTCCCACAAATTTTGTACTGCTCTCTTCAACACTGCAAAATGCGTCATAACCTTTGTTTCATTCAGTTATTGGACCCATGAGAGCAACACTAAGCTTTTGAACCAGTATCTTCCTCCAGTCCCTCATGATTCACTTTGCAATCTCTTACCCCTCCTGGTACTTTTATGCTGAGATGCTGAGATGATAAAGCAAGAAGTCTGCAACCTTCCTTACAAAGAGTCCTGGCTGGTGGCCCTTCACATAAGGATGAGCTCCTTGAGCATCTTCTCCAGCTAATGCTTAATACCCAAGTCTTTCTCTACGCCTCCCTGTGAAGAACAATCTGCAGCCTGGTAAAAATTGTGCATTTCTCTGCCACATCCCTCATGTCCCTATACCCCACAGACCCTTAGGGAAACACAGAAGCACCTTTCATATGCTTCTTTGCACTGAGAGGGGAAAAAAGCAGGGTTGGCAAAGTGAGCAAATAACTCCAGGGGAGACTCTACAGTCTCTGTGCAATTCACACATCCTCAAATTCCTACACTAAGCATGCGCATTGACTGAGCAGACTACACTTATTGAACCTATTTTTGTTCTAAGGCAGAAAGAGAAGAAGGTAGATTAACCCGTTATACAATGTCCTTTGATTGACAGAGAGGAATTGCAAGCTGCAAAGTCACTTATCGTGACTTTTCTGTACTCCTCCAACAAAAGTAACTCATGATTCTTGCCACTGCAAAAATGCCATCTTTTATGTAGGTGATTCAAGGTGATTGGTCAAAACTACCCTTTTTTTCCCCACCTCCACGTCTGGAGGATACACTCCAAGGATACACTCTGTATTCAATAAAAAATAGGGGATATGCTTCCTCTAGCTACACTCACTGTGGCAGACTGGGGCTGTTCCATGGCAGCTCTGGAAAACAAGCTTTTATTTTTTCCAAATTACTTCATAAAAAGAGGCATCAGATTTCCTGTGGCCCTGTAATCATATCAGGGCTGAAGCAAAAAGCAGAAGTTATGTTTTCCTGATGATGTCTGATGATGTCTTTGCACCCAGAATATATATGCCTTTCCAGAAAATGCAGCTCCCTCATCATTCAGAGAGACCAGTCCAAACCAAACCTTTCTCTTTGAAAGCAGGGACAGACATTTGGTTGCTTATTATGGCACTGCCTCTCCTTCAGCCAGTGTGGCCACATTTAAACTCATTCCCTAGCCCTGTAAATCCCACCCAAGAACTTGTTCTTAAGCATATCCCTGCAGTTCTCTTCAGTCAAAATATGTTTACATGCTAATTTACTGAGATCACAGCAAGCACACCACCCCATCTACACCCTGCATAATCAAATTATAACACTATGTTCTTGGGGGCTGAACATCTGGCATGTTTTAAAATAAAGAACTGGCCAGGCTAGCAGTGGTCAGCACCATAACACAGCCCAGGAGTGGGGGTGGATTAAATTGGCCAGAGCCTAGCTCAGTGTCCTCAGGCTCTTTTGGGGATTGCTGGGGATGCAATTTCTGCCTCCTGGAGCTGATGAGCCACACTTGACTATGTTGGGAGGTCAAGGGGAGACACTTCTGAGGCTCTCCAGAAAGCTCCTTCACTGGTCTTCTGGGTGAAACACTTGGCTGCAATGCAAGTTGCCTAGATAATGCCCCAGCAAATCATTTATGTGTAGATGTTCAAAAGAACAGGGCACCTAGAATCTCACATTGTTTTTGGAGAGAGAATATTCACTAATGTCTGGCATGCTGTCCCACATCCGGAAACCTCAATCTCTTTTTATTCTTTTTCCTGCATCCTCATCAGAGCAGTGTGCTCTTCCTTTCCTCTATCCTGTGTTTGCTGTGCTCTTTTCGGGACCCGAAGCCATTTCACATGCCATATAAAAGCTTCTTTTTGGCCACCACTGCATTGTGATGTTTCTGCAGCATCACTAATGATTCTGCAGTTTCCTTGAAATTTCAGCAGTTCTAGGATGAGGCTAAAGCCATCTTTTAATCTCGGTATGATAGTCTTTAGTGCCCAGGGGCTCAGAAACACCAGGTGTGAATTGAAAACATCACTCCATCCATTTCAGAGATGTCTCAGTAAGAAGTATTTCATTCTTACCTTGGACCTTGTCAAAACGATGGGCTGACCAAAACATTTGGGTGAAAATTACTTAGCACCTGTATTCTGCAGAGATACCCAGAGCACGTTAACCCTGTCCCCACGGGCTGTCTTTAAAAGAAAGTTATATATTGGGCCATTCAAAGAACACTATCTGAGAGATGAGGATGAGGCAGATTGCATGGAAACAGGGCTAAGAAGAGTTGTCTAACTCGAGGTGCTTTGCTCTGATGACTCTGTGTGACTATCTGCAAACACAGACAGTCTTGTAGAATTTGTAGAGAGAAGTTTTTGATCATATGGAGGTTAATTTCCCGGACTATGCAATGGAAGCCTCTTCCCTCTATCTTTACTGGGCTGCAGACTGTGGTTAATCACACTTCATTACAAGCTGAAGTAAAGCAGCACCAAGGACTTTGAAACCAGCTGGTCAGTACAGAGGAGAGGCCATGGAGGGAGGAAGTGTATTTCATAAATGCTGGTAAGGACTATACATTATGAGTGCACTGGGAATAAAAACAAGCTTGTACCAGTGCATACAGTGCCTCAAATTTCAGACCAGTTCCTGTGGGCCCACTTAAAGCTTATTCCAGTTTTTGAGAGGTTGCTCATTCCAGTAATATTCCCTATGTTTAATAGTGAAGAATGTTGCCAGATCCAGTAATGTCTCTAGAAATACGATGGAGTTATTAAGTGTAGTTGGTGTTCCTGTTTATTGTTAGAGGCGTGATTTCTCAGCTTGTCTGCTGAGTTTCTTTTTTTCATGCAACACTCAGAGAAGCAAAAGATGGCCAGAGCTCTGCTTTTTATACTGGACAAGAGGTTTCAAGCCACTGGGTGTAGGTCACACCTGGCTTTTCCACTGTCCTGCATTAACTTCTCTTCAGAAGTCTTATTAGCACCATGCTAATGGATGGGCTGCCTGAGATGGGAAGTGTAATACGGCCCTCAGATACCCTCATTACAGACAAGCAGAAAGTTTTGACATTTTTTATGTCTTTTTTCTTTTTTAATAAAGCAAAGACTTTTGACTTGGACTTGGTTTCAAGCCAATATCCCTGAACAAAAACTGTTTTATTTATTTTTCACATGGCTGGAGGAGGGGAGCATTCAGCTGAAAACTGGTGTGTGCGTTGTTGTTTTTTCTAGAACTATGAGGAAAAATGCCTTTCTACTGTCTCTCCTTTTTTATTGGAACAAATAGACACATAGTAAAAATGTGAGCCAGCTTCTTTTTCGCTAATACTATAAAATAGGGAGCAAAGCCAGCTTCCAGCTTCATTTTCCTTTACTTCTTTCTTCTGGCCTATCTTTGCCAAATGGAAACAGGATTCAGAGAATTACTTTATTTCTGGAAATAGTTCTTGCAGGGCTTAACTGTGTTTTCAATGCTTTCCAAATAGAAGTGCTTTTTGGGATCTAGATGATTTTCCTGAAATTTTCAATACAGAAAAATGAGGAGGGGAACTGAAAAAATAGTCTAAATTCATGCTTTCTGTTACATGTATTCTGTCTTCTCTGATGTTTATTTGATGAGGAGAAGAGTTGGGAAGAATAGCCACAAGAGTAATTGAATTGGCAATTGCCCTTGTTATTAATCACAATAAAGAGCGTAAAATACAAATTAAAAAAAAAAAAAAGAAAAAGAAAAAAGAAAAAGAAAAACTAAGTTTACCCACCATTTTTCCTATATCTTCTCCAGCACTACTATCAGTCTTCCTGTTCCATAAGTGACCCATCGCCCTGCAAGTGCTCTGTTGTGTATGTAGTTCACACAGCTAGGAGCAGAGGTAATGGAAGATATAACAAAAGATTTTTTCCCATGAACCATTCAGTTCTGAAATAACTGTAGTTTCTCAGTTCAGGAGATGAGAACCTTCACTAGTGACACTGTGGAGCTAAATATGCTGTTTCTCTAAATTAGTATCAGAAAGACAACCAGAAAGGAAAAGCAGCTCTGTAGAGAGAGAAAGAAAGAGAGAAGGCTTTGCAAGTATTTCAGCTGTGTTGATAAACGTCTTTATTTGGCATAATAAAAAAAAAAGTTGTTTCTGATGCCTTGGCATAGAATAAAACTGCTCTCCTTCTTTTTCCAGGATAAAGATTGGGTATTAAATGAGATTTAGTAAGGTTTCATCATTGATTAGAATTGTTGCTCTGGAAAAGATTAGGAGAACATTTGTTTTTCACTTTGAAAATAAAATTAAAAAGTCAGAAGCCTTGTAGGAACTTTCCAATGTGGTTTTCATCTGGTTTGGCAGGTTCCTCCTGAAGAACAGAAAGCTGAGAGAAGATGGGAATTAGGAAAACATGCTGTGACCCCAATAGAAATTCTTCAGCAAAAAGGGAAATGAAGAAGCAAAACAGTACATAATGAAAACCAAAAATCTTCTTTGACCATGTTCATCTATCTTCTTTCTTCTGCAGGGCCAAGTACTTCCAGGGGAAGAAGGTGAATGGAGAATTTGATATCCGAGTGGAACAGGTCAGTGATAACTGAACTCTGCTGTAGGAAATACATGTGGATAGGACTGAGGTCTCAATCATACATAAACTGGATATCCTTCAAGAGAAAAGAACTAGGGAGGAATTTTAAATCATGTCTGTTTTATAGAATTATGAAAGCCATAAATGAAAATAGCCTATAGGGCCATCCCTTCCTGCCCAATGCCTTTGCAGAATCTGTCTCTATCTCACCTTGAAATAAAATCTGCAGTTCTAGTAATGGGATCATTATATCGTCCATAGTGCAACTACTTCATAACCCCATATTTGTACCCTCAAATGTGCAAAGCCTGTGCGTGCAGGCCATGTTATGTTCCACATGCAAGCTGTATGTCTGGTGACTTATCCTGCTTTGAGCCTAAATCCTCTGGTTTCATTATACAGAGTATATATAAGTATACAATATTCTCATGGCAAAAGATTCTGTATCTGTTGAAGAACCAAAGGAGCAGTAAGGAGTCTCCTGTCCTATACTCTGCTTCCAAACTGTTGTGCTCTGCCGGAGGTTGGACCAGTTCCTGGTTTATCAGTTCCTCTATTAGCACTTATTTCATTTGTAAACTCTTTATGATGGGGACTGTTCCCTCCTCTCTGTTTTGGAGAAGTTCATACTAAAATGAAATCCCAGTATAGACTGAGGCTTTTGGATACTGTTGTCGTAGTAGAAACGATTGCAAGTCACAAAATGTGTAGACACATTTGAAAGTGTCTAACTTGAAAGCAGACATAAGAGTGGAGAGGTGAAGGGGTGAAAAGCTGATGGTCTTGAAGGAATTGCATGCTTATTTTCAACCCAGCAAGCTCATCTTAAACCGGGTTGAATGACCTGATGTTGCCTGTCTTTATAAAGTTGATGACTCTGTATCTTGTGTGTATGTGTGCATGTGTATAAATATATTAATTCGGTTCTTTTAAAGTCTTTTTCAGGACAAACTGCCCTGAACAAACTGTTCCATGTATCTTCAAAGGCGTGTTGTCTAGTTGCCTAGGACAGTACATGAGAACACGTGTTCTGATCAGAGACTGTGTCTGGGAAAAAAAAGTTATCAGGATGTGTCTTGGAACCATGATACTATGAACCCTTCATCTTCTTTGTATTGGTATCTCACATATCAGTACTTAATGGTAGTAATAAGAACAATTCTCACTTCCACCTCCTGATGGAGGTCTTTATTTTGCGAGCAAGTAAATGTCCTAAAAGAGAATGGGAAAAAAAATCACACTTCTAACGTAAAAGGTTGGAATCATGTAACAATTTGGGGTTGAGGGGGCCTCAGGAAGTCATTAGATGGAGACCCCTGCTGAAAGCAGGGCCAGCTTCAAAGTGTCCTGTTCAAAACAAACTGCTGTTCCTGATGGCATCCTAATTCTTTCCTAAACTTCCAGTCTCTGCCTTTTCCCTCTTAGTCCTCGCCTCTTAAAAGTTATTCCTCTTCAATTTCTGATAAAGGAACTACCTCCAAGGGCGTCTGAGTGGAGGTGGGCAGAAATAGACTGGATTCCTGACAGGATTGACCAGTAATGACCCTCGTTGGTCATCTCTATGTAGCTTGTATTATTCTCCCAAAGACTTTGCCAGGGAGACCATCCCGGATCATCTCTTGAGAGTCTTCTCATAGGCTGAATGTCTATGGTTGAGAAAAGGCACCAAAATACTCCAAGCAAAGGCCGTAGAGTTCCTCTTGCAGATCCATTTAACCATTCAGAGTAGCAACTAGAGTACTGCTTGAGGGGATGAGCTGCGTACTCACAAGGAGAGTTCAGTAACAATAAATAAGGGCGCAACCTACTTCCACTTGCCCCCTTCCTGCCCCTCACATCGGGCAACCGAGCCTCCATGTAGCAGGCTGGAAACTGCTCTTGACTCCACCAGACCTTGGCCACAGAAGAGATCATCACTTTCCCAGTTAGATCCCTCTCTATCAAAGGAAACACAGACACTCCTTTGTCATGGGCAGCCCTCGAATCTGACCACAGGCCCCCGTGCATGTCATTCAGGCCAAGAGACAGGCACTTCTCTCTTCAGACTCTTTGTCCTCTTGTGTTTTCACAAATCCTTTCTTCCTCGGTATTTCATGACATTTTTGCTCACTGCAGCTTCTAAGATTACCTGCAGCCTTCCTCCCCTCCTTGACATCTTCCTTTGTTACAATCCTGATTTCTAGACTTTTGTGGAACATATCCTCTGAGGATAAAGCAAACCTTCTGGACCTGAAAAATGAACATTATTCCACTGTGTCCTTGTGGAAAAATGAGGGAAATAAGTGTGCTTGCCAGCCTGATGTACATCTTTCACTTTGAGGTCTCAGATCACCATTCTTCATGACAAAGCCAGAAAAGAATCACAGGAATCGCATGTGAATTGTGCCATGCTGCCATAAAAACCTAATCTTGTTCAGTTCTAAATCAACTCTGTATCAGATCAAATCTTAATTCTTGGGCTCTGCAGTGGCTCTGAAGCCACTTGGTCTGCTCAGGAAGTCTTTTTTTTTTTTTCAGTTTTGCATCTGTTCATGCTTCAAATATCCATTTTCCCCAACCATTTACCCCAACCATTTGTCCTAAGACAATATAGGTTGTCTTAGGATAATTTTTTATACTTTGTAAGAAAATACAGTTTTGACATGAAAAACTAAATAACAAAAATATTTGAACGGGGGAAAGTAGTGAAATAAAATATTTACATTTTTAACATTCCATAAAAATTGCCACATTTTAAAGAAGAAACTGCCTTAATTTTTCAGAGTGTGCTGATTTTATTTGCCTTTCTTCCAGGATGCCGAGTGATTGGTTTGAAATGAAAGAGCAGTTTGTTTTGTTGTTTTTTTATTATTAGTCTCTCTGTTTTTTATCTTTTTCTTTCACCTCCATGTCAGTTACATCTTCATTCTATTTTGGCAGTCTTTGGAAGAAGCAGAAAAAGGAAATTAGGGATTTTTTTTTTTTAA